TGTGTGTGTGTGTGTCTGTGTGCAATCTCGTGCTGCACCAGGCATCTGCACATAACCATGAGAAGGCTGGTGCTGGGCCCGATCAACCCAGCCTGCCTGCATCGGAATAGCAAGGGGCTCAGCCTAAAACTCCAAACCTGATAGCGAGAAGCCATGCGAGCCTTCGGGCTACGGGCTGTACTACAAGCGCGCGTCTCTCCCTCTCTCTGTCTCTCTGCACGTGTGGTGTTGGACGTGGCTAGATGACCCAGATCGCGAAGTACAGACCTTTCAGTCATGACTGTACCGTGGGTCAAGTGCACACAAGGTTCACGAAGGGTTGGATTGATTGGAGATGATCGAAGTATGAAATCATCTGGTTATTGACCAGCGGTTGGCGGTTGATTCCACAAGAAGTTTAAAGTATGGTGGGACATTCAAACTGCCGAGTACCTATGATTGAGCCCTGTTCGATCGTACAAAGGCGATTGGCAACGGGAGCTCAGACAATTTCCACCTCTCCCCCCTGTTCTGGTGAGATTGATCGTTGGGAAGAGTGGAGCTTGTAGGAAGAAAGGACTGTACACGCCGGCTGCACGGGCCCTCATTGGCAAAGTCGAAGAAGAAAGCACTAATCATGTTACCTTCCAAGTGTGTCAACAGCATGATCTCAATGAAGCTCATGGATTGTGATTTGTTTGGAACTCACGCCAACCTCCTGATGAGGAAGACGTGACAAGCGAACGCATGTCTGCCACGAGAACCGACCTACGCTATGATCTGTCAATGCCTGCCAGACGGATGGCCTGGAGGCTGGCCCAAATCCCTGACGGCAGTGCTAAAACTACAGCCGTAATGCAAAGTGGCGAAGCTGAGCATGGCTTCGGGAAAAGGAAAAAAACTTCACGCACAGATCTCACTGCCTGAAAGGGCGAAATCAACGAGCCTTTTGAGTGAGATATTGGCCTTCGGAGTTCGGTCAGAAGGTCTGGAAAGTCATGACATTGATTTCCTCACGCTAAAGAACCCGGCATGAAAAGGCCACTGGAACACCGGTTTGTGACGATTTGCCAATTGCGCCAATGCAGCCAACAAGTGGTCCGTGGCAGTAGCAAGTTCAACTGAATATAGTACGGAAAACGTGTCGCAGCGCACTGGCGTTGTCTCGTGATGTTCGAAGTCAAAGCATTTGGCAATGAGCATGCTGCAGACGGGAACCAAGAGACATCAATGCAACGCGGAGAAGAGGATGGAAAGGAAGGAACAGGAACGAGATTTGAAATAAACAGCAAGAGCAAAGAAAAAAAGGTTCGAAGGACACGTTATGAAATGCAAAAGAAATTCAAGAATGAAGGGCAGAGTAAACAGAGAAAAGGGCACAAACGGTTAGTGGATCTCTTCCCGTAGGGACGCAGCATGTGGACTGGACGCCTGGTCACGGATTGCAGCTAAGAGTTGTCAGTTGTTCAGAACGAAGCCATGCAGACTTGCTTTTCGCCACAGGATCAGAGTTCCAGTGCATCCCCGCGGTGGAAAGCTGCAAACCGTGAAGGAGTGCTGGGTTGCTGAAGATGGTGATGGCATGATGCCGGTGGAAGGGATCAATCAGAGTCTCCAGGCGGCGGAATGTGTTTGCCAGAATGGATTGTCAGAGGAGACCATTGATCTCAATGAAGATCTCAATCATTCCCCCGGGCCCTCGGGTGGATTGAATGCTGCCGAGACTACAGGTGGACCTGCATCAGCGATTGCATTGAGGTAGGCTCAAGCTTCCCCGCGATTGACAGCAAATCAGCAATCATTGAGGCACGCTGGATTCCAGTGGGGACAAATGCGGATGTTCAGGCAATGCCGATATGCAACATGCCCTTCACGAGTGAAGCCATGAATGACGTCCTTGCAAGCTACGCCGGAGTCATCGGCGAGTGCACTTTTGGACGATCGCAGATTGAACACCGGCACTTTGCCCCTGCACCGATAGAAGGCAAGCTAATTCACCTGCAACCTGTGGCCACTGCGCTGGGGTGAGCGCGCCGTAAGTAGCTGCAGGCTTTCTGCGCTTTGTGCAAAGTGTTGTGACATGTGGCCGAAGCCGGCAGTGGGTTCCGACTTGAGCCAAAATTGCCTCCGAACTACTCTCTCTCGTGCCTTTGCTTGTGGAATTCATGTGGTGATTTGTACATCCGTGCGCCAGCGGTGGTGAAGCAATTCAAGTGGAGAAATGCGTGACAACAACATGACGATTGTAGTTCCCTCTCCGCTTCCATCCTGAATCTTCTGTAGAAGCCGGCTGGATTGCAGACATGTCCTTTCGGAAAGAAAGCTTCGGGACACGCATGCCTGCTCTTGCAAGGGAAAAGCATTGAGCCGATGAGCAAAGCGTGCCCATTTGGCCCTCACCTTAGACCAGTACCATCAAGAGGGAGTCATTCGGGGCAATCCCTGTCACTCCCACGGGAATTCGACTCGCCGCCTGGACCTTCTTGGCGGCCAGCGAGCGTGCACCACTTCTGATTTGACTCTTGAGCGCCCTCGTTGCCAGCTCAGCCATTCGTGGCCAGTTTTGAAGGATCGCCTCCCCTTTCTCAACGGATCTTGTGTTCCTGCGCCGCACAATACAATCTGGGACGATGGCGGTAGAATAGCTGTGGAGCACAGAATAATGATGTCCTGACGTCAACTAGCTCCAGCCTAGGTCAAGCATGACTCACTTTCTACGTTCCGTTCCAAGAACGCCCTCACATGTGCTACCAGGCAGCATTGCCACAAGTCGGGCCCAAGCTTGCACAACCCATTTCTCTCGTTCAGCCTGATCCTTGCTAATAACGACCACCAACCTGAGAGCAAGATGGTCATGCCATGTCCGGTCAATACACGCCAAGCAATGCTTGCGTCGTTCTAAGATGTCCTCAGGAGAAAGCCGTGTCCATCCAGTTAAAGCTCGGCGAAATCCGGCACCAGCAAGGAGCGCAGACTTGTACACCTCCTAAGTACGTCAGGAGTGCACTGGTGCGCTTGCGACAGGCCATAAGAGCCACATGGTTCTGAAGTGTTCTGTCTAAGCAGCGATTATCTTTCGTTGATTCAGGAGAACTGCCAGTCGACCCCATCTCCACGTCTGCTGGGCCGTGCGATACGAGCTAGCAGCCTGTGGCATCCAAACGCGCACGCTGCAGTGACCGGGTGATATGCAGCCTATGGTTTCACCGACGGTGCGGACGAGGGACAATTTCTTTGGCTTCGACATCAAACTTGATAGACTGAAGTGCAGCACCAGCTACAACTGTTCTCAGTCTGGCAAGCCAGTCGACTGGTGGTCTCCACTGGCGCCAAACAATCATCGCCAGCAAACTGAGTCGACATGCCAGCAGTACCCTCGCTCGAGCTGGCTCCCGACATGAAGCATTCACAGAAGACGACGTTATGACTGAAGAAATGAATGCTGGCGGCAGCACTGTCCCCAATTTTGCTCTGCCCCAGGAGCTCTAGACGAGCCTTAGCTACTACTGACATCTACTGACCCTTGTGCGGTCCACCAGGCAGCACAACAGTTAAATTGCTGCAGGCTAGACAACCTTTCGTTGACTCCAACTCGGCTCTCCTTGGGTCACGCAGTCCAGCTGCCCAGCTCACTGCAGCAACTAACTTCCTCGTTTGCACTTGCATATCCACTCCATCTCACTGAGGCTCAAAGCCGCGGCGTCGCCTTCAGCTTCTTCCAGGCAATCCTTTTTGCACATCTACTCCCGCGCATGCCTGGTGGTGGAAGGTTTATTTCGTCATGCCCAACATGTCCTGCAGGATCTTGCAGTGTTTCAGAACTTTCTGCTTCTCCTGCAGGCCCAGGAAGCACGGGTGAACAGGAACAGGAATTTCTGGCAGAGGAAGAAAACGTGTGGCGTCTGTGGGTTTAGGGCTCGGCCTGAAGAAGGACTTCTCTCAGCTGAAAGCCGAAGCCCAAATCTTTGCCCTCGGATGCCAAGCCGAGTGCCCAGCGGCAGTGCAAACTTACCCTGTCTGACGCGTGTGAGGGAACTCGGGCCACTCGGGCTCTTGCGAGTCCTTCGCGTCCGCTTGCACCTGTGCTTGGCACTCCAGCTGCGAATCAAAACGGGTCGCATCAACAACCGAAAGTGCACCCGCTGTGAACCCGCCTTCCCCTTCCAAGGGCTGTTCTGCATCCTCGCGAACCTCGCAGGCACAAGAGAGCGCGTTCAACAGGATTCCGGGGGTAGGTTCGGGCTTGTGCCCAGGTCCAATCTATCGCATGGCATGGTCCACCTTCCCACATGTCAGTTGACACTTGGTCTGGAAGCCGATATTGCAAGTTTCTTGAGGATTAATGTCGCTTCATGCCGTTCCTGCCGGCGAACGGGCTGTCCGCAGCTGCTCGTCCAACTCACGAATCGCTGGGAAATGTACGGTTCCTGCCGCATCCTGATGCCCTCTAACCTGTAAGCTGCACATGTCAACATATACAAAATTCGAGCAAACGTAAAAGTGCTTGGTGACATTCATCCCATCCTCATCGTCGTCGGAACGGATGATGCTCATGGTCAAAGAGCTCTTGGACACCTCCCGCAGTCAAAACCCAAAGAGTCCCGAAGGACCCGAAGGAGGATCTGAAGAGATCGGCCCCGAGCTTGGGAGCGGATTTCGCCTTGACGCTCCCGGCCAGGTCTGGCAAGGGAATTTCAGCGATCCAGGACTGGATGCTGTCGGGCAAGGAAGTCATGCAGCTCCTCAGCTTCTCCTGGGGCAGTCGTACGGGCACTAAGGGCCCAACCGCAGTACAGTCACCTCCACGGCTTCACAGGAAACACTCGGAGGAGGCCAAATGTTGGCATCCACAACCAGGGGTTCTTCGCCCAAGCTTACCGCCACCTTGTCTGCAAGGTGACAACAAAGGGACTCTGCTGAAAAAGTGTTAGCCAGGACACATGCTCCATCCCGATGCCATGGCCGCTCGCTTCAGCCAATGCTCCGCGGAGGGCTTTCTTGAGTGCCTGGGTCCACACTTCACTGGCCAGCAGGCTAGAATCTAGAACTTGCACCAGCTTGCAGGCCTTCATAGTGGGCTTGCTGATGGCCTCGAAAGTTAACCCGCGCAACCTGAAGCTGATTGCCACAGCATCACCTTAGGATGCAATCTGTGCGATCAGGAACCGTCCTTGCGGGTAGGCTCTGTTCTGGAAAGGGGCCTGCCAGTGGTGATCGTGGCGGCTCCCTTCCCTTCGCAATTTGGCCAGCCATGGCTTGTCCTCCCTCGGATTCCCCTTTTAAACTCTGAGATGCTTATGGGCAGCATTTCTGACCGAGCAAGCCGTGCAAGCCTGCAGACCTCAAGAGAACTGTTTTTCATGCACCATGCACCTCTTTGGCTTGGCAGGCATCAGCTACGTCCCGTGCCCATTGGCTGGGGACCTCAGTGACCAGGATCAATCGACTCGATACACTGAGACGTTGCCTGCAAGGTCCCCGCCCGAAGTGGAGACATGTCACACACCACCATTTGTGCGCTGAGCCTGGTGTTGAATCTCACGCTCCAATATGAGCCAGCGATCTTGGAATGAATGAATCTTGGCATGCGACTCATTCACCAAGGCTGGAACTTTGTCTCCGGCCTGTGGAATCGATGGTTCGCCATCTTAATCTACGACTGTTCTGGCCGCGCAAGATTGCTACTGCCTTGCCCAACTGCAGGTGGAAAGGACTCAGCCAAGGTGCAGCTTCCATGGGGTAAGCGATGCAGCCAATGCAGAAGGCAAGACGGCACACAAAGTTGCAGGCATGTTCTTGGACTCAAGGTCAACTGCAACCTGGCCATCACTGCGTTTCTTCACATGTGTCGCCACCGCGGACGCAAGCCTCCCTCAGACCCTTCAGGAGGAAGTCATACCTGACTTCTTTAGTCTCCGGCACACTGATCGCTGGAAAAGTTGCACGTAGTTTGCATGCCGTCATCTGGGGAAGTGTGCGACTTCAAAAGAAAGCTCAGGCTGCATCTGACGCAAAGTTGCATCCAAGAATTTGGGCACGAGGCTGAATACAACCTGGCATCGAGATTGCCACCTTCACTGATGCAGAACGACTGCACGCATTGAGAAGTGCGGAGCCAGGCTGACATGCAGCGGGGCGGACCTGGTCAGTTGCTCAAGCCCTTGAGCATGACACAGACCGCCACGCCGAACTAAAGGGAAGTATGTTGTTCCAGAAAGGCAGCGGCTGCCGAATTGCCAGCCTCAAGCTGCCGTTTCCTACAATGTTTCTACAAGGCAGGCGTGTCCAAACATATCCAAGCATTCAGCTTTTGGGCGTAAATCAATGCCCAATTGTCAACTGAACCTGGCAGTAGTTGCATGCACAAACACATCCCTATTCCTGCGTGCTCAGGCGGGAGCGTTGATCCCGCGACATCCAGTAAATGACAGGACCTGTGCTTTCCTGAACAGGTGTGTGCCCATGCCATGCACCACTTTCCTGTTTTTTGAAGCCATGAACTTGGTGAGTGCCAGCACACATCGCGTCTCCATTCGTAAGCTAACCGACTTGATTGTGTCTATATTAGTACATAGAATGAAGCCAAAGCCGGGGGGAATACAGTACCCGTGGTCACAAAGAAAAGAACACTGGGATATGTTTCTTTGCCACCATGCAGATGCAGTACGTCCGGGGGTGCTAGTGGTTGACATACCGCTGGTAGGAAACTTGAACTGACTGTCGGTCTGATGCCTTTGCAACCTCTTGACCATGAGGACACACATTCGTTCCGATGAAGTTGACCCGTCTTTTCGAATGCACAAGCACACGGCCCCCGCTTGGTTGAGGCCAGGGGACTTATCTTCTACAGCCAGGTCATGCCCGAATCCATCCTGTGAGACTTGGGGATGGCGCAGCTCGCAACGAGCGGGATGTTGGACTGTCAGCACTTCGGAAGCGATCAAGCCATAGAGGACACAGAGACGAAGTGCAGAGTACTTACAGTCGGGCGTTCGGGTTCGTAGAGTTTGGAGAGAGGCCCCAAAGCCCCTCCATCAAAGCGTCCCTGCCCGCTCCGCTTCGCTCCGAGCTGCCATAGAGGACCCGATGTTCGGCCAAACGGTCCTGTCCGTAGCACTTGCCTCCTGCTCCCCCGAAGGCTCCAACTAGGTATCGTGAGCATCTGGTGGGTCTTGGTTTCGTCCTTGGCTGCGGATTTTCTGATCTCCTTCTCGGGCCTGTGGTTCATGGATGCCCTCTGTGTCCTTGCCGCTGTCACGGACTCGACCTTGTGGTAGTTCTGATCCTCGCCCATTATTCAGTGGTGCAAGACTTGAGCCAAAATGGCTGTGGAGAGCTCTCTCGTCTTCTCCCTTAAAGGTCGAGTAAAGCCGGCCGCGCATTGAGCCCGCCCGCCTTTTGTGGACCTTTGGGAGGGTGTGAAAGTTCAGGATGGTTTCTTGGCCAAAAGTTCAGGATGGTTTCTTGGCCAAAACGTCAAAGCAATGTGGGGCTATGTGGGGCTCTCTGTTTTCCTCGCTCGCGCGCTCGCTCTCTCTCTCTCTCTCTCTCTCTCTCTCTCTTTCGCCCTCGCCCTCTCCCTCTCTCTCTCTGTCGCTGGCTGGCTGGCTGGCTGGCTGGCTGGCTGGCTTGGCTTGGCTTGGCTTGGCTTGGCCTGCCGGACGGTTGGGGTTGGGGATACGCGCTCCCCTTCCCCTGCGCTGGCGCGCTACGCCACTGTTCGTGCCCGGAACTCTCTTCCTCCTCATGGCATACGGGACCTGTTAAGTCCCCAAGCCTTTTTGCCCCCCCCACTTGTCCGGAACTCACCGACTCTCTCTCTCTCTCTCTTCTCTCTCGCTCTCTCTCTTCTCTCTCTCTCTTCTCTTCTTCCTTCAGGTTAAGGGAGCGCGTCAAGCTCCCCGGCGAATCTCTCTTCTCTCTCGCTCTCTCTCTCGCTCTTCTCTCTCTCTCTCTCTCTCTCTCTCTCTCTCTTCTTCAACACAGTCTAAGGGAAAGCTGAGCGCTCCCCCTCGCGCGCGTGCGCGCCCTGGTCCACGATGTCTCAAGTAGTGGCCCTCTCTCTCTCTCTCTTCTCTCTCTTCGCTCTCTCTTCTCTCTCTCTCTTCTCTATCTCGCTCTCTCTCTCTCTCTCTCTGTCTTTTCTTTCTTTCGTCAGGGTTAAGGGCGAAGGGGAACTCCCCGCTCTCTGTCTCTTTCTCTCTCTCTCTCTCTCTCTCTCTCTCTCTCTCCCGGGCTTGGGGGCTGGTCAGAACCCCCGGGCATAATTGCCCACCCGATCGTGTTGATCTGTCGGGGAAGTGACATGCGAACATAGACTGCCCTGACGGCTAAAGCCATAAAATCTACAATAACGAGTTCACGGGCAGTCGTATGTTCTCAAAAGACACGTGCTTGCTTGGATCCCCCGGTGTCGGGTTTTGTTGAAATGGACCATGTGTGAACAATTTCTGCTAGTGACTTCCCGACACCTCAGGTCCCTTGCTTTCCCCGAATTTAGAGCAGCCGTCAAGCTTTATCAGTTCTGAATTCTCTCACTCTCCATGTTCGGCCGGCCTTTAATACGACAACAATCATGATAAGTAAACAACACATTCAACAACAAGATGAGTTCGGCTCGGCCCGGGAGTGGAGAGGTTATACAGCTTCCGGCACTGACATGTTTGCCCCCCTTCGTTGCTCCAGGAGTAAAACAATGACACAGCGGTCAGTGAGTCCCCTAGGCGGGTAACATATGTAAACCATAACAGGAGCTTGCGAAGGAGCACGCATGTTCGTGGGAGCTTGTTTGCTTGGTCATGATTGTTTTGTCCCCGCGTTGTTTGTCAGTCTAGGAAGGGCACATGTACTTTGTTGGCAGTTGTTCTCCCCTTACTCCATTCGCTGTAAAACAAGGACACAGCGATCAGTGAGCACCCCTAAAGGAGGTGACATGTGTATCGATGTTTTTCTGGAGCGCGGGAGAGAGCACTAGAGCGTACCTTTACAGATTCGACCCAGTCTATGTGTGCATTTCCACTCCATTTCGAACCCGATCTCAGGCACCTAGATGCAGAAGTGTTTCACACCCGATACGTGTAAGTGCGATGGAAACGGCGTATTTGTGAAACTTGCGAGCTTTTCTGGAAAGGATCCCGCTTTCTCCTGGTCAATAAGCTCCTACTTTAGTGCAACTAATGCAAGCAAACATAAGCAACGACGTGGCAGGGATCCTTCCAGGTATGCGGAGGAGGAGTTTCGGATTTTAAATGGGATAGGCATGCAGTGGAAGTAGGTTCTAAAGGGACAAGGGACCTAAGCACTGGGAATGTCTCATACCGAACTCCTCACGTCGGTGTTTTGGCTACGTTGTGCGTTGTGCGTCGTGCGGTGGATGTTTTCGTCGGGCTTTTTGTTTTTATCAAAGTAACACACGGCAGCCAAATCCACGCCTAGAGGCTACAACATGTGTAAAGAGCTTGTGCGCCCGGCGAGTCATCCCCCAAGGCTCAGGTATTAGGGCTTTGCATGGGCTTCCGCGGAATGCTTTTTCGGGTAGCAAAGCACAGGACACAGCACTGGATAGGGGCCTAAGGGCTACCATGTGTGTCAAGCACGGCAGCCCTGTGTGTTTGTGGCAGTATGTTGCTTCACGACAGTTTAGCTCGGGGTTAGAAGGTCTCTGAAACACGAAACATGCCATACGATCACTGGGTAGGTATCAGAGGAAGGGGTCGTGAAGGCAAGACTGTGATGCCCCGGTTCAGCTCAGGCGCTCTCAGTCGTGAGTGTGCTTGATCGTGTAAGGCAGCATGGAGGCGTCGCCGACGGTGGGAGGCTTCACTCCCCCTGTCACTTCCTGGCGCATTGCCCAAACCATGATGGCGATCATGAAGCCACCATTCTCCTCCCGTATGTGTTACGGGGGGACCTCCCCCAGCACTGCCTTGAGGTAGAGCTGGGTCGTGTAGGAGGAGCAGCTGGATGTCCCCCTCCGAGAGGAGCAGCTGGATGTCCCCTTCCGTGAGGAAGAAGGTTTTCCACTTCTTCCAGGGCATTTAAAAGTGCGGCGTGGATTGTGCTGACTTCTTCGGCTGGCCACGACTGCAACCGCTCCCCGAGGCTCTGGATTTCCATCAGGATCCCCCGGGCTCGGTTGTTATGACGCTCGCGGGCCAGGCTCGAGGTCAGCACTCCTTGGCAGGCGGCTATGACATCTGCGGGATGTCCCACTTGTTCCCCTCTTTGGGGGGCTTACAAAAGTAGCACGGTTTCTGCCAAGGTACTGGATACCCTGGAGGGATGTGCCAAACTCTCGCACAGCTCGGCTTACACGAGCTCTGTCCACTTCCATCAAAAACTTTTGGCACGACGCCAGACAAGAGTCTGACCCCGAGTCACACGCACGGGATCTCTTAGCACCCGGACTCGGGGCATTTAGCGCCGGCAAGTGGCTTTAGCAGGAGGCCAGCAACGGAGAGTCGCCGCCCTGAAAACCAATAAAGTCGCTTACTTGCCTTGGGGCGTGCCTTTCCGGCCACCTGGGCTCCAGGAAGCCACGGGAGACCTGGAGCCTAGAATGGCTTAGGGTTTAGGGTGAACGCAGGCGACCGCAGCCACTCAGCTCGAGCCCACGGCTTGAGCCAAAATGGTTATTCTCTCTTGCTTGCTCGCTTGCACGGCGTTTGGGGCAGGGCCCTGGGACCCCAACCCCTGCGCTAGGTGTCTGTCAGTCGGGGTGATACCTGCGTGGGATTCAGCACCTCTTGCCCCGAATTCACCCCTAAGCCGACTCCCACTCCGTGCATGTTGTGCTGCATTGCGTCCCCTTGTCATTGCAAGGGTTCGGTGCTCCAAAGATCGGTACACAAGCGCATGAGGGTAGCCCAACCTGGAAACAGCACCAAGAAAGGAACAACGATAGTCACAACACTGGTTGTGCTCCGGAACTTGTTCTTGGCTCTACTGTTGCTGTACTTCTGGTTTGTGGAGTGTGTTGCTTGTGTGCGGCACGGGTCCCCTAAGGAGAAGCAGATGTAGGGGCACAAGCAAAATCGATAGGGGAACACTCACACGTTCTGGGGAGGTCCCCGTGCCGGTGGTGGCGGTGCTGTGGGTGGGAGCTGGCGCCTTTCGGGTCAGGAAACAGAAGGGGAAGGGGTAACAGAAACCCAATCGGAACGTCACATACTGAGGCCCCTGCTCCCGATGTGGTTGGTGCTTGTGGTGGTACTTGTGGTTTGCGTCCCCTACTTACTGAGTGTCCTCTACTTGCGTGCAGCGTTGTGCTGCTCACTTGGTGCCCGGCCCTCCCCTCTCAGGTCTGGATCGCTTCGGCGCCCCTTCTACACCGTTGTCGTAGAGGTAACCGGGCTCCAGCCCCATCCGCCGTACAGTCTGCGACGTTCTCGCCACTCTGCCCTATCCTGGCGGTTCCTAGCCACCCGGGCTTCTTCCGTCAGCGGAGCCCTCCGTCTTGCCTGGTCGCTCGGGTGCTGTGCTGGTGAGGGCCCGGTTGGCTCCGCCGGCCGCCGCGACCCCCACGTCCTTGGTGGCTGCTCGCCCGTCTTGGCTGTCGCGGTCCCCGTCTACTTCCTCCTCTTGGTGGGGAAGGTCGGTCCCCGTCTGTGCCACTCTGCCACTGTCCAGTGGGTGGTCCCCGTGGCCTCGTCGGCTAGGGATATTGTTTCCTCGAAAACATCTACCTGTGGTGGGACAAGTTGAGCCGTCCATGGCGTGGAGGCCTGGTAGTAGGTGTCGTTGTTGGGCTCCTCCTGGGAGTCCTCGGTGGCCGCGTGCTTCGCGTCGGTCCCCTGCACGGCGCCCTGAGGGAGAAAAAACGCACATCAACCTGCAAAAATTGCAAAAATCGTCTAAACAGGTGTAAACTTAAATCGAAGTTCTATGCCCCTCGCTTTCAACCCTTACATTTGCAGCCGACATGAAGGACCGAACATCCTCAATCGCTCTAATATATGGGGCCTTAAATAATTACCTACGATTTGGGGGTCCCTTAATGTTACTATAGTATAATGTTGCCCGAAACCCTGTTCTAATTATTCAAGCTCTACATTAAATTCCAGCTTGTCCTCGAAACCCCAAACCGAAGCCTTAGTCGCCTTAATCCCTCACCACAGCCCTAAGCCCTACCTATAGTCTCCATTGCAGTCCTTACCTTTTAGGATCCTTAATATTAAAAACTACAATTACAATGGAGACTCTGTAAACGGAGTTGTTGCACTTTGTCTCGGTCGTCGCGTGATGATCCGGCTGGGGGTGGAGCTCGTCGAGGGCACTCATCTCTGTTGTGCTGGTCAGCGGGATGGCTCTGGCTGCCCGTGCTTCAAGGGGAGTGAGTCCCCGTATCACCCGTGTTCTGGCGGTGGGCATGGCTGTGTTGCATGCACTGGTTTGCTGTTGGCTGTCTTGGCTGTCGCGCGCTCCTTCTGCCGCCTCGAGGGGCTGGGGTGGTGGTGCTATAGGGCTGCTTGCCCCTGCTGGGCGGTGCTGTTGTCCTCTGTGGTGGCGGGCTTTGGTTGGGTTCGGTGCTGCCGCCTCTTGTGCTTGTTCTTCTTGCCCTGTGCTTGGGAACAAGGCGGCGGGGTCCATGCCATGAGCTCGTTGAAGCTAGCATCCACATCGAAGCCATCTTCTTGGGCTGGTGAATCTCCTGTTGCTGCCTCTGGTGTGGTAGGTCTCGTGGTCCCCGTCGTTGTTGGTGAGCTGGCTTTTGCGCCAGTCGTAGAACTGCTGCTACCGCTGCTGCTGCTGCTGCTGCTTCTTGTCGGCTGCTTCTTCTTTGCCGTATTGGCTTGGCTCGCAGCTGGTGGTTCCTTGCTGGTAGTAGGTCTCGTTCGCGGGCTCCGGGTTGATCGTGTAGTCGGCGGCGAGGAGGTTATAGTTTGTGAGGAAGGCCAGGGCTTCGCCTCCGTTCATGGCCTTCTGACCATGGAACACACAGTAAGGGTCTTGTCGGTTGTGTCCTCCATGGTTTGGGCCCACTTGGCGACGTAGGCAAACTGCTGCCTGGCCCGCTGCGGCTCCTCCATCTAGAGTGGGTGCCCTCGTCCAGGTAGCGGAGTTGTAGAAGTCGGTGTTGGGGAGAAAGGTAGCGTCCCCAGTAAGCCCCATGGCTTCGAAGGGCCGTCCCCTACTCCATGGGCGGTCGGGGTTCGAGTTGGCCCCCTCGGACTCCAACGGTGCAGGGTGGGGGAGGGGCATGCAGTGTCCCCGTCTGGTGCACTAACACCGAAACTTTTTCCTCGAGGAACAGTACTCTAGAAAGGAGTTGCTTATTAACACCAGCAGTCCTGGCCATTTGCGCCTCGAAGTTGTCCCGCTTCTCCGTAAGCTCCTGGATGCACCTGCGGGCCTGGTGCCCTTGGTCGTTGAGGTCGAGTTCCACCTGCTCGATTCTTTGGGTGGCCTGGGCAACTGCTTCGCGGACCACCTGAAACGTTGTTTCGTCAAAGCTGGTTTTGGGCTTTAGCGAAACACCCATGTAGCTCCCCTTGAAGTGCCTGGATGATGGCTACAGTCGTCAGCTTGTCGGCTTGGGGAGATGTCCCCGTTTCCACCAGCCATGGAAGTTTGCATTTACAGTCGGGTTGTCACTATCACGTACGTGATGGTGTCCTTCACCCAGTGAAGCGCTCCCGGCGGAGGTCCCCGAGAGGTAGGGGCCGAGTAGAGTCGCCGGTCACCGTCTGGTTGTGGTGGGCAGTGTCCCTCTCTCGCCAAGGTCACTGAACAGGAGTGCAGTCGCCGTGCTCCCTGCTCAGAGCGATGAAGAGGAAGACGCATAGTGCTGCGGACTGGTACAGGAGAGCGATGGCTGGGCACAGATCGCCCGCGCCGGGTTGCTCCCCTTCGACCTCGAACCACTCACGGCTTGAGCCTCTTTCTCTCTCTCTCTTGCTTGCTTGCTTGGGGTGTGGTCCCCGAAGGAACCCTGGCCTACCCCCAGCCCATTTCGGGGATGGGTGTTTCCAGCGTTCCGCCGAATGTACCTGGACCCCAGTCCCGGCCCAAGAATACCCCTCCTAAACCGGCCACCTCTTAACTGGTCCGGAGCTCCACTCCGCTCCCCCAGTTCACAATGAAACGTGTCTACTAAGTACCCCCACTTTACCTGCCTCCCCACCTGACTCCGAACAGAACCTCACTTCGCTGTTGCCGGTGCTTCAAGACTGGTGCGATACACTCGGACCTAGAGAAGACAAGTGCTGAGGACAACCCCAGCCAGTCGGGGTTTGTCATGGACAGCAGTGTTCAGCAGCCCACGTTGGGGTCAGGCATGCCCCCGATTACATCCCCTACTCCCCGACTGTGTTCAAAGCACATTATGAAGCCTAAGACACATTTCCCAGCCTAGTCGTCGTGATCCAAGGAGCTTGGGCTCGTGAAGCTACGGCGCCTACGGTCCTTGTTCTCACGGTGTTCACTGGGTTCTCCCTCAAGTTTTGTGGCTGTGCGTCCTGTAGGCGTCAACTAGGAACTGGCCGCCCCGCTGTCGACGTAGTTCGTCTCCCCCACCGTGTCGTTGTTGCTGCCAGTGGCCGAGGGTTGTGTTCATGGGAGGTCGCTGTGCTCATCCCCCTCTCCACTAGCTGCCAGCAGGTTGGCCTCCAGAGTTCTTTTGTCCACTTGGTGAGGTGGTACATCGCCATGCTCGGTTCCTCCAGGAGCTCCCCTCGAGCAAGGGGAAGGTTTTCCGTAGGTGCTTCTTGGCCATGTAGTCGTGGGTGGCATGCGGAAATTCTCTATCTGCTCGACGTGCAGGTGGACATCGGCTGGTGGACCTCCTCTGCTTGTCCCACAACAAGGCCTCCAACCCCGTCGAGGCTTCGACCAGGAGGTTGTGCAGTTGTGCCAGCCCCTCGGGGTGATGCCAGCGCCCTCCCCGGGCATGCGCTTCCTCAGCTGCGTCAGTCGCCCAATCCAGGACCTGAAAGGGCGTTGCCCCCACCTGCATGTTTTTTTCCATGACGCCCACAATCACCGCTGAGATCTCGAAAGCATTGGGAGTAGCCGCCGCGTTCTGCTCGGACTCTGTCTCGATGTAGGTCTGCAGGAAGCTCTCGCCTTAGGTGTTGTTGTCGTCCCCATCGGTGCTGGTATTGGTGGGCTCGGTCGTTTACGGGCGGGCTTGGCGTGGTGGTGACCTGGTAGTGGCCAAGGGCCAAGGGTTGTGCACGTTCATGCAGTCGATGTACTCGGCCAGGATCTCCCCTCTCGTGGTCGTCTTCGTCCGCAGGTCTCCCCCTATGTGACCCCAGAAAGTGCTGTTCGAGGATGTAGAGCAGCTGGATGGCAAAGTCGTGGCCCCTCAGAGGAGCGGATGGAGACAGCGAAGTCCTTGGCCGCGTCGTCCAGAAGGGACCCTGTCTCCTTGAATTCGTTGCGGATAGGCGTTCCAGTGGCGTTCCGCAGAGCGTATCCCGAAGGATATGCCGCACCACTTCCACGAGCGTAGCTGCCATCTGGATCTTGCTTGCTTGCTCAAGGGGGCTCTCAACGTCCAGCGTCCAGCGCTTGTCGGCGTGAAACTTTCTGGTTCCTCCCCCACTCTACACCTTAAACCAACCTCCCCACATCCCCGGCCTGCTTCCCGAACCAAACCGAACCTGGCACGACACTGCCTGAGACCTACCTGCCAGTTGTACCAAGCAACACTTCACTGCATTTGCCGGACCTCCAAGGTCGCCGCCTCTCTCTCTCCCTCTCACTCTCCATCGCGGACTCCAATCTGCAATCTCTCATGCCGATTGGCAGGCAGGTAAAACCATGCTGCATGCTGTTCAGTACGAGCTGTTTTTCGGTTACACTGTCTCGGCTTGCAGACTGGTCTCTGTCTTCACGCGCTGATTGGCCTTCTCCAGTGTCATCAGCCTTTGCTTCGCAAGATTAATTTCGCCATCCTTCTTTTGACTGAGTGTGGCATTTGGTGTCTTTCATTGTAACTGGGCCTGCAGGCATTGGAGATTGGACTGCAGCTGCAGAGTTGGGGATTTCTCGTTCATAGTGGGCCCCTCATAGCCGATCAATTCTCTAGATCGAGCTTGACTCGAATGTCCCACAATTTAATGTCGGTTGTTGCCGACACTTGACGCCCAGAGTCTTACTCTCGAGAAATACGGGTAGTGCCAACGTTCCGTCGAAAGTCTCGCCTTGAATGCCTTGGATGGTGCTGGGGTCACTGGGGTCCTCAAGTCTTTTCGATGCTACAATGATCAACAAGCCCAGGCCAAAAGCTTCAAGGTATATTCCTGTAACTCCGTAAGAATTGCCGGACAGTGTTTCCCGACGCTCCAGAAGAACACAAAGCTTTTCCTTGCCTTAAGCTGAACCGAGTTGAGTCGTCGACATCGTCTGACATCGACTCCTGGACACGCCCGTTCGAATAATCCAGACGACCTCAACATTCTCCGCTCCTTCCACAACTGGCACGGACGAGGCAACGTTGGCACTCATCGTAGACCTGTCGGGGATGCGCAGAGACATACGTTGGCAGGAAAGCAGAAGAACTGCACCCGGACGGGTTTAATTAAGGGAACTGGAAGTGCCCCATGTAACCACATGAAAGAATATTGCTGCAAACTGTTGCTCGAACGTACGGCACAGTTCCCGGATCGGCAACACTTGAACTCGAGCTGAGTTGGCTCATGATTTTGCCTGGCTTGCAGTTGGACTTGTGCACTCGCCAGATCAGCCGTCTGACTACATGGGTATCGAAGCTGGGGATACTTGCAACTCGTGGGTGGGTGCACATTTCATTTCTGAGGAAACACGGCGAAAACGAACGTCTAAGCATAGCTTCACGCTGCAACGGGCGGGATAAAGGAAGGCGACTTTTAAGAGCCCCTGCATGAACTCCACTATTCATGCCTTCACCGATGTCCAAGTTCAGCATTTGCCTTTGAACGTTTGTGACACTGCACTAAGTGCAAGGAATCTTGCTATGCGCAGGGGCCGAAACAAACAACACACCTCACACCAACCTTCTTTGCACAGTGCAGACCGCCATGTCTCGGCAAACAATCGCAAAATCAGCACTAGCAGCTAGCAAATGCTTAGCGCGAAATGATTAGAACGACGTCTTGCACATGGTTTGTCTTGGCGTGGCTTCAGCGAGGCTTTTCCAATAGGAAGAAGCCTGCAGAAGGTTGCTGAAACCAGCATGCCGTGCCAATACAGAAACAGCTGGATCTACCATGAGACTGTCAGCCAACAGAGGTGGCAAAGCACCAGGATTTCGCTTGAAAGTCTCTGCCGTGATGTGTACCACGCTGGAAGAAACACTTTCGCTGTGACGGTTCGAAAAGGAATCTCGCAAAAAGTCGCGGTTGTCTGTTTCGAGGCATCAGTGACGGAGTGCTTCCGTTGCACATGCACCAGTCGGCACAGCAGTCTGAAGCATGCAGTGATCGATATCTCAAGCTTTGCCAAAGCTGCCTGCAGAAGACGTGGGCTACCGAATCACCAAACATAATAGCCTCAGAATGCGTGGGACCTGACTATGCTTGGTTTGTAGCAATCCAAGGTCATGAGAGGACTATATACAGCTGTGTTGGCATGGGCCGGAACTACCAGGTTTCCAGTCGCAGATCTGGCTTTGGGGTTTTTGATGTTTTGATCAGGGCACTGTATGCCTGGAGGAATGCTGCAGAGGACTCTTCCTCAAAAGCTAAGTGAAGGAGGCGGTTGCAAGTGGGAAATGTCATGAGCTTGGGGCCTCTTCCCTTGGTTCAAGTCTCCACCAAGACCTGGGCGACCAAATATCAGCTGTGTAGGGTGCTCTTTGAAAGCTTGCAGCCATGGCACGGCGAAACACAATAAAGTTTGCTGAGACCTGGGCCCGCTGCAGAACGAGAGCGTGTCAAAATGGCGCGAGCTCAAGCAGGAACTTGCTGGGCCCCTCTACCCAGGACAAGAGACCTGGCGCATGGTCAGAGGCCAGAAGGATCCAAAGGGTCAATGCGCTCCTGCCTTGGTGTAGCCGAGTAGCCTTACGGCCTTGCAGACAAACTTTTCGCCTTTTTCTCTTGCAAGGCCTGATCCGAGACTTGAGGACTCAGTCATCGTAGGCAAGGTCGAAGTGCTCCGGGAAGCGGAATGTTCGCGTAACAAACTCCTGGGAGAAGAACGTTAGCTCCAGCAAGCCGTGGCTCAATTTGGTTTCGTCATCAGCAAAGACAACGTGGCCCTCTTCGGAAGGGAATATGAAACGGTGCTTCCAACTCACGGCTGGCAAGCCTGCACATTCTTGCCGATCGATGTGCACTTCAGCACCATTGAAAACGACTTTGATGGTGACATCTGCCTCTTGAACTCCAGGGCACTGAATCCGCACGCACTGGACATCTCTGTTTCGCCTGCGCTCAAGCTCAACCGAATGTGGGAAAAGCTGATCGGCCGGATCCCCGGCACTCGAGTTCAATGCTTCGGTCGCTTCCGACGTTTCTGCTGCGGCGGCCGCGGCGGGTGCAGTTTCTGCATCTTCAATTTTTTCAGATGGCATCTCGGACTTGGCCTTCACCCGGCCTAAGAGTCGAAGAAGCTTTCGCCGCTCCTTCTTGGCATCAAGGCTCAGGTCATCGCCTCCACTTCCGTAGTGCTTCCAGGTGAAGAAGCCGAGTGCCGAAGATCCCGCCACCACAGCACTCGCAATAGACCACCACAGTGCTTCTCGCCTTCGGTGTTCCAGCTCTGCCGATTTCATCTGCAACATGGTCTCCAGAGCCTGCCGGTCCTTGCCTTGATCTCTGACACTCTTGCCCTTCAGAGTCTTCAATTTTCGCTGCAGCTCTTTCGTTCTTTGGCTTAGCAGCTCAAACTCTTTTTCTCTTCTCCCTGCAGTCGACCGCCACTGTTCGCTGGCAAGCTTCGCTTCCGCAACATAGTCTTCGAGCAATTTCTGATGCTTACGGCATGCCACCAGGTCGGTCATCGAGGTGCTATCGCGATCGCACCGGGATGGCAGCGCCCTGAGTGTTCTTAGCAAAGTTGAGATCAGCTGCACCTGCGAATCGGCAGTTTCAGTTGCATGCGTAACGGCATCACTGAGGCTCACTGACACCGCAAGGAGCTCACCCTGGCTCATTACATGCTCACGAAGTGGAAGAGTGCCGTCAAAAGCGCATACACTGCCATTTCCACCATTTCCGCCTGCCTGCGTTGCCTGTGCTACACTGAACCACAAACCATCGTTCCCAAATTCGATGCCCTGCTCGAGTCTGGTAGATCCCTGCGGACATGGGAGACGGATCTTGTGCAGGACAAAGATGCGCGCACCTATCCTTGTGAAGAGTGGGAGCTGCAGCTCACCCATGTCATCGCAGCCCACCTCCAGCACCACTTCCCGTCTGCGTAAGGGAGCCGGCCTTGTACAGTTAACTGCCGAGATCAAGGTATGCATGCTGCCATTTGGCAGCCGGACACCGAGATCCAGGACAGCTAGTTCGTAGCGCTCAAAGAGGTGCGAGTTCGCGGTGGTGGCGACTGAAAGTGTGAAGCACAGTGCGAAGTTCAGGCTTCGTCTGCCCAAGGTCCACGGTGAGGGAGCTGGCATGGCGTACTGGCAAGGCACACATCAGCAACCCATGGTATTGAAACCAGTACCACGAGCAAGCCTATACCTGCAAACCTTGCCAACCACAATTATGGACATGGACACGTGCAAGGTCGACCGTAGATAGGTTCCAAAGTTTATGGACTCTGATGATATGTTCGTGTCACGCAAGGCTTGTATGGGAGTCATCAGCACATCTACATCTGCGCTGGGTATGGCTCATCTTTGACTGAAAGCCTTCCACAAACACTTTCTGTCTGCCATTGGCAGGTGCAAGCAACCACAATGCTAGTTTTGCACGTGTCCAATGCTTCAGGACAGCAGGCGGTCCATCAGATCCTGAACAGCAACGCAGTGCTTCAGTAGCAGTCCCCCAATTCTAGCAATGTCCAGGTAAGCACAGCACGTGCTTTGCAATGCCGCGAATATGCGCTGTTCGGTCTCCACTTGCTTTCTCCTTCCTGCATCAGTTCAAGGTAGCTGGAAGCCATGAATCAAAACTGAATGTCCTGCCACCAGCCACGAACTCCACGTCTTCTGCCTGGGCATGCAACTGCGGCTGTATTGGCTCCGGAAGCCTCAATCACACACAATTGACGTCTAGCAGATTCCAAAAGCTCAGCAATCCGATAAGCCTACACACACGACCTCGCTTCAGAGCCCTGTCTACCGCCACTTTCGGAAGGCCTTGATTTGGAGGCTGTTGGACAGAAGTGCTGCCAATTCATAGTTCCTCGGCCCAGTCAACCGTAAATGATGTATTGGAGGTGCCGGCTCCTTATGTTGCCCGAGGGACCGATGCCTCATTTGCGCACAGATTGGTTGACACGTAGCTTCATGCATCCCTCCGGGTTCGAAGGTCATCATGTTGAGAGAGTTCCGCAATGTAAACGATTGTTTCAGTACGAGTAGGAGTGGAAAGTGGTTTGTTAACAGCAGCCGAAAAGCAAAGATCGGCCGCACTCTCAGATTCCATGAACAAGTAGCTTTCAGTATAGTCTGAGTATAGTGAAATGCAGTGGTACTCGTACCACCTGCCATGGCGTCACTAACGGACACTATCGAGCCTCATCGCAGCTTTGGTGTACTCTTTCCAGGTTGTTTCGACGAATCTTCATCCTTTCGCTGAAACGGAATACGGGGCACCGTTAGATACCGTTAGGTCCTTTCATGTCTGGGCCGGGCCTTGGCACCTCTTCAACGCAAATGTTGAAAAACTGTGGGTCCAGGGCCAAGGACGTTTGCTGTTGCAACTTCTTCGGACTAGCGCCTGTTGTTTCCAGCGCTGACGGACATAAAGCTCAATACCCAGTCCTGCAGCCCCGAGGTTGTAGCGGCGCTTATGGAGAGCCCGGGGCCCAATAGCTTGGCGAAGCGACATGAGGACGAGCCTCCGCTACGAAGAGCAGCACTGACTCCCGAAGCCACATGACGCAAGCGGTCGCTTGGTGTTGGCCACTCCTAAACATGAGTCGCGGAAGGGTCATGCCCGTCAGGGTCGGTGCGCTTCTAGACAGGGAGGAATCGCAAAGCATTGCGGTGCGAAGGCAGAAATCCGACAACGGCACAGGACGGGAATATCAGAGCATGCTCACCATCCACTGCCTTCAGCCTGCATTCAACTCGCCAAATGCATGGTTTGATAGAGTGTTCGGATGTCGGATGATGTCCGCATGATAACGTGCGGGGGGGTTGCTTCAACGTGCTCTTGAGTCAGAGAATCACCGAAGACCTGAGCTTCGTGCTCGGTGTTTCGCGATGGGGCGAGATCGACACCTCACTGCATCATTGAGTGCAAAAACGGCGAGATCGACAGCCTTCCGCAATCTTCTGCCCCAAGCGCGCCGCATACGCTCTCAGCGTTCGCAACCCGGCGGAGCTCGGACTTGTTCGTAATCTGCGACTTCTTCACCTTCAAACGGCCGGCCAGGAGCCACAGAGTCCACAGAGTGACTTCAATCGCTTGGCGCCTTCGGTCCTGAACGAACGCTAAGCCGCAGCATCGTGCCGTCGGCAAACTCAGTCACCCAGGCTGCCTGACCAACAGCAAGCTTTGATTGTGCGAGAAACTCATATATGCATGTATGTATATCTATGGTATCTTCGTACAAGAGCACAAAACCAAGACCAAAGTGCCGGGCGCAACTACGGACTTTGATTCGCGGGTCAGACCTCTCTTACATTCGCGGCCCGGGCAAAATCAAAGGTACTCGTCAGATCTCGCCGGACGCTTTCGTTGTGTTGATTACCTCCGGGCGAATACCACCAAGTTAAAATATGGAGGAACAGGGTATTTATTGGATCCACATTAGCCGGATGGAGTGGTGATTTGATGGCTGGCCGGTCAACAAACCCAGACTTAATCAGAGACCCAACAAGCAGTCGTCAGCAGTTGAACCCCGATCGTGGCTGTCTCCAGTTCAGTGATTGCTCTGAGGGGAAAGTATGCTATAGCTGGTAGCGGTCGTAGCCGCGAGCATTCTTAACATCTCGAATCCCAAGGGTTCTTGGAGAGTTCTCAAAAAGGTGGTGGGCAAGCAACAAGGCGAGGGGGGGGGTGGCCACGACCAGTCAGGCTACACCACCGGGCAACGACCACGACTGCCGCTGCTCACTACTCTACGACTACTACTACGACTACTGCTACGACTACTACTAGTACTACTATTAGTACTACTAGTACGAGTACTACAACTACTACTACTACTACTACTACTACTACTACCACCACCCCCGTCAGCAACTTGCAAGCTTGGCGCGAAACTGTATGGAGTGTAATTATTCAAAACAACCTTCAGCAGGCACACCAGCGGCCTTGAGCAGACACCAATCTTCCTGGCATCGATCTCACCGAGATTACTACTACTACTACTACTACTACAAATACTACTACAAATACTACTACTACTACTACTACTACTACTACTACTACTTACTACTTACTACTGACTACTGACTACTTACTACGACTTACTACTACTACTACTACTACTACTACCACCACCACCACCAGTACCAGGGTCACTACCACCGTCACGAAACACTGCACAAGTCCGACTTGAAAATAACGCAAGCGGTCTCATCGTGATGTCTATTGTTTCGATTTCGGAGTTCTCCGGAGCCTCCGCGTAGCCGACCCAGCCGCTACCATCCCAGGACTCCTCCACCCGACCATCCTGGAGCTCTGTCAGGCTCGATGATAGTTGTCGCGAAGATGTGGCAAACGATCCAATCCACAGAAGTTTCAGAGCTACCGCTGGTTTTTTTTGCGCAAACCCCGTGGAAGGACTTCCACCTAAAGGTTGCTAGGTCAAGACCTCAGGTTTCAGTAGATAGGCTATTCGTATAGAGGTGCTGGATGGTTTCGACCTCTACAGAGAGCCTTGGGCCTTGCACATTCTGTAAAAGCTCTAACCAACAATGTCAGCCGCAATGCATGAGCCTGATCCAGTTGTGACTTGGACAGCAGACTACGAGCTGGGCATGCCAATGATGCCTAACCGCAGGCTCTGACATGATGCTGACATGGCCTTTGTACTGTCAGCCTGCCCTGAGTGGAAGTTGCCTGCAACATGTTATTTCTTCCTGTACTGCTTCATACAGCTACACACAGAGACGCTTGTGGGCGGGATGCAAGCCTTGGCTAGTTACACTGGATCTTCAAAACAACCTCTGTTGGTCCCTTGGCCCCGCGATAAGACAATTTTGCAGCGAAGGATGCAGAGCCTTGTGAGCGAAGGCCACGTTTGCTAGTTTGTTGAGCTCGGCGGCGGCAATGCCGTGGCCACCGAATCGGAGTGCCTGTCGAATGGCCCAGTGCCCGTTTGACATGCAATGCAGCCGTCTATCAAATGACAGTGGGCGATGGGAAAACGCCGGCAGTGTTGATATGATGACGGCCAGCACCTTCATCTTAGCGTCATGCTGACGAAGATGAAGATGAATAATGAGATGACATGCGGCTATGAGAATCTTGGTGTAATTTGGAAATGTACCTTAGCCAGCAATGTCCAGCACTACAGCTGAATCACCACCATCGCCACGAACACCAACATCATCATGATGCTGCTGCTACGGCTGGTGTTTGTGGTGGTGGTGGTGGTGGCTAAAACAAACTCATCGTCTGAACACACAACAACAAAAAGTTACGTACATAACGAATAGCTTTTGAACGTGTAATCAATTCATTTTGCAATTCTGGACGACGTAAATCTATATAGCGATACTTCAGTTTGATGTCCTCACCAATCGCTTGGAAATCATCTAACTGAAACCGGATCGTCGAAGACTTATTGATAACTTCAATAGTATCACCAATAATCTCTATTTTACCACTTGCTAAATTTTTATTCTCTTGACCTACCGGCATTAGATTAACCACACCTTCTGCTTGAATAACTATCAGCAACACCAAAGTTTGCATTCTCTGGGTTAAAAACTAACTGAACAAGTCCTGTTCTATCTCTTACAGGGTTTAGGGTTTAGGGTTTGTCTAAATCTATAACTCCACCATGGTCTCTACGACGATGAACCCATCCACAAACTGTAACTCTTGGGTTTTCTAACTTTTCATTCATATCTGAAATATAGTGCGTTCTCATTTAAACTAACCCTTTAAAACTTATTTTATAACTATATAGACTTACACATACCTAATGCGGCACAAGAAGTCGATAATAATAGAATCGCTTTGGATTTATGTAGCTCGCCAATTAGAAACATGGGGTCATAACATCAGCTAGGATGCCTTGATGACACTTAGGTATATAATTATGAACAGTACTAATATCCTTACTTCAAACATTTTGTATTTCTGTAATCATCTCATCTTGTGTCCCCTGCATTGTGGACAAATTATTAGTGCTTTTTTGTTTGTAGTTATTTCGATCTGGGTAAGCTTTTTAACATCTTCAAATGTCGTTAGAATATCTCATAAAAAGATAAAACTCTAATTAATCTTGTTTCGATCGAATATTCACAAGCAATACATAAGAAAACTCTTGATGCTGAATGGTTAGATATAGATTTTTAACAGAACAACAATGGCTCATTTCAAACCATATTGGCATTCATGCTAAGAAAGCTCGTGGATTAATGACAAGTTTTATCCTTGAGAATCAAATGAGAGGTATTAGTGGCATTAAAAAGCTTAATGTTGCGAGGTATGAGTTCAACCAAGATCTATCTAAAGACGATCTTATTTCCTTTACAAGATATTCTGTGATATGAAAATAAAAATAATACCTCTAGGAGAAATGTTGCGAGGTATGAGTTTAACCAAGCTCTATCTAAAGACGATCTTATTTGCTTTACAAGATAATCTGAGATATTAAAATAAAAACAATATCTCTACGAGAAAAACCTCCTACATCAAGAAGTATAAAAAAACTTAGCAAAACCATCCCGCTTGAGCTAGTAGAGCTAACAATAGCAAAAAGAACCAAAACAGGTAATCCAAATATCTGGATGTTCAAGAAGTTAAGCACGATCAACAACTCTGATCATTTAGTAATTCTTGATGTAAAATCTAAAATCATATCTCCAGAAACACTAGCTGTTTTCTTTAGTTAAGCGAAACGTAGTAAGACAAACAACAACAGCAGCTGGAAAACAGCAATAAAAGGAACAACAACAACAAAACTAATAGCCTAGTAGCACCATCGCCACCATCAACGACAAACTCAACATCAACAACCTTATCACCAGCACCAGCGGCAGCACCACCAGCACCAACCGCATCGTCAACAACAAGAACGACAACGACTGGGACGACGACAACAACAACGCCACCACCAACAACAGCAACAAACTACAACTTGTTATTGGACGCTGAACGAGCGGTTGGGACTGAGTGGGTCAGTCAACTTCAGACGTGCCGTAAGCATAGGCAGCAGTGCCGTCATATGCATCAGGCCTGCCGACATCTTCAGCGAAGGAAAGTGAATTGCCTATGTAGGAGAGGACATTAAAGGAATGACAAGCCTGGGTAAATCGACGTACCACTGCATACTGTACAGCGCTGTGGCATCTTTCGGGGACTGTCTTCAAGGATGCAAGTCACTGGATGTTGCTATCAGTTCTCGAAGGCGTTGCCCTGAGCTGGCACGAGCCTGCCCGGGCGGTAGCATTTGTACAACTCCGTATGTGGCAGCCCGGCCCACAGGGTCTTGGTCATGTCACCTCCGTCACCCTCAGTGTGAGTCATTGCCTCCAATACTCACGAACTGGCAGCCGGTGGGCCGTACTCCGAAGAGCCGTCTCCAAGAGTTCCGTCTACCAGCGATGGGCCGTAAGGATATGTAAGGACGGTACGTCCACGCGGCACGTTGGCCGTCACCCTAGCACTGCCTGACCCCGTCGGTAACAGGACAGGGCAGGCCGTAGCCGTAGCTGAAGCCCGACACCCATAGCACAGCAAACGCGTCCGCCTAGCGACTGTACCCAGATGTGACTGGAGCCGTACCAAAGTACATGTCGGGACTGAAGATGTTGGCCTCCGCTTCTGGACCTGAGTCCTCTCTGTCCCAACCTGCGCCTTGTCTCGACAACAAGTCAGGCCCGGCGGCTTGTTGAAAGACCTCCCCCTCAGGAGAAGATAGCCATCTCAGGCCCTCAAAGGCACCCCAAAGCAAGTGAAGTCCCAGGGGTTGCACATTGGGGCCAGCGTTGGGAGGATGCTGAGGTGCAGGTTATAACGCTTCAGCCATCTTCTCCTGTTGCGGGCTTGTTCCCAGGCGCTGGCGGCTGAGCAGCGGTGCTACGCAAAAGGCTCTCGATGGTGTCGGAGGGACTCGATCGAACTGGCTATGTCACAGCCGGTGGCAGTCCACCCTGCTTGCGTACCAAGGTGCAGTTGCCGAAACCGTCTGCGCGACTGAAACAGGCGATGCAGTGAGAGAGCTCTCGTAGAGGCGCAAAACCAGAATGCCAGCAAAACTGCGCAGAGAAAACTTTTGGCTGTCCCTGGGTGTCTCGTCCAGAGGGTCGAGGAGAAGCGCGGCACCAGACCTCGTCGCGAAAGCTTCCTTCAAGGCACCCAAGTTCAGAAGGCGGCCAATATAGGATGGGATCTTCTCCTTGACTCGTTTTGTGCGGCAGGTCCTCTTGCAATAAAAGCATAGGCTGGAGAAAAACACTGTGGCATAGTCGGCTCGCCATCCGCTGGTTTCGCAAGACTAGATGTAACCCAAGTACTGCTCCCTCCACCGCGTGGAGAAAGCTGGAAACCCTACCGCTTACCTCCAGCTCGTCCAGAACTTGCTGTCGAAGGAGGCTCGGGAATTGCGACCCGGCAGTCCACAGAGGCAGAACGCTCGAAAGCACTCTCTAACAAGCGGAAGGAGGTCCCTTACGCGTCCCAAAGTTCAAAGGAGACCTTTAGAGTTGCGCCCCAAACAAAGCTAGCACAGCTAAGATGCCTTCTGTGAACCGTACCGGCAACAACAACAAGAACAACAACAAAAAGAATGCAGTAGCATCAACAGTCTTAACGTCATCATTATCATCCTCGCCGTCGTGGTCATCAACAAGCGGTAATCAGTATACTCGTAACATCTCGTAACCATCTAGATCCTCGTCGAAGTCCGTGTTCCTACCAGATACAAGCAGGCTCTCAGGGAAAATGGAAAAGCTTCAAGTGTTTATGGAGACTCGGCCTCAGCCAACGCACCAAAGTCCACACAGTCGCGTCCATTGTATGAGCCACCTGCACCGTCGCTGTGGCAAGTCTCTGCAGCGCATTCAACCGAATTCAGGACCTACAGTGCTGCATTGGCATCATCCTCGATCTGCAACAGCCAAGCATTCCGACGTAGTTCCATACAGCCACAAGGGTGACATAACAGCAATCCGGAAAACCAAGTTCTTCTGCGACCAGAACAAGCGGGAATGAGCGCACCTCGTCGCACCGCCTGTGGGAAGGCCTCCGAAACTTCCTGGAGCCCAGGCCTTTGCGGTTCTTCGAAAGATTCTCAGATTGTTCTGGTTGCCTCGAAACTGCAGGATCTACACAGCAAAACACAGCACTGCCTGTAACCAGGGGTACTAGTAGCCAAGACTGCAGACATATGTGCATGTGTATACATATCAATATGCAAGAAATAATGGTTAATAAATATGTATATAAATGTATAGATGTATAAATGAATAAATATATAAAGAAAAATTAACATGCATGTATATATGTATGTTTGTATGTATGCATGCATACATGTATGTATGTATGTACATGTATGTATACTACGTATACATATGTATAATGCAAACGCGGTGTGTTCACTTTGTGTAGACATAGCACAACCATGTGGCAAATTGTACCTGTCTTTCTGCAGATCTCGGGGACGAGGAGCCCTCCCTGCGGACCTAGCACCTCGTGCTGCGCGAGCTCTGTCTCTTTCCTCTCTCGCTCTCTCTCTCCCTCGGTCCCTCCCTGCCTCCCCTCTCTCTTTCTCTCGCTCTCTCCCTCT